GACCCGCCGCCGCTGGCGCGCCTGGTCGGGGACGTGCGGCCTCCATGGGTCTGAGACGGAGACCCCACGACAACTAGTTCCCAAATTAGTTACCTTCTTTTCCCTTTCTTTCTCTGCCTTTATTTTTCTGAGGGGGGAGGGGAGGGTAGGTGTAGACGGGAGGCGGGAGGACCCAGTTGATTGACGTGCCCAGCCCGCTTCTCTCAACTTACAACCGCGGCTCCTCGGCGGGTGGGAGGGGAAGTGTCCCGGAGCCCGAGGCCGCAGACTTGGGCGCGCTCCGAGGGAGGAGGCGTCAGAGCCGTGCAAATTCTTGCCACGCTCTTTCCCATTCCCTCTTGCCGGCACACACGCTTTTTTGTTCAGTAAAAAGTGATAGGTCTCGGGTTTGGGAATTTTCAGTGGAAAGATCTTCAGTTTCCTGGGAAGAAAGTGCTTTCGCTTCCAGTGGTGGGCGCTTATTAGAAGTTCTGTGAGTGTTCGGTAAATATGTTGGACGTAGATCGAGCGTCGCTACCACTGAAATATGTAGGCTTGGGTCTGAGCTCAGCCACTTTGCCAGGCTCCCTTGCTACCTAAGCAATGCGTCTACGGTATCTGAAAGGTTGACATGGCGTTTTCCAAATTGGGAGCGTCAAGGAGATGTTGATGAAAGTCCTTGATGTTGTCTGGGGACAGTAAGGCATTTGTCTGCGTGTAATAATAATCCTAAATCGAGCTTTAACGTGGTAGTCACGCGCAGATTCTCCCTTGGCCTAAGTGTATTTCCATGCAGTATGTATCACGGCAGGAACAGTTTTCTCTTTGACAGTGGAGCCCAAGAAGTGGTCCCAGGCTCTTTGACTTAGAATCAGCCTCTCTGGACCAGATTTGGTTAAGGTTGCAGTTCTCGTAACTCCAAAGCACTCACCACCTTCTCCTTTGAAACGGAGAAATTAGATTCTGTTAAATTTTGTCATTGCAAATGGATGGGATGAAGAGAATTGGGGTACAAAAAGATGAAGTTTGAAGCTGGCCATCAGAACCTTGAAACTTTTCCTTCTGAATCACTTGCTGGATATGTAATAAAGTCTCAGTAAATAACTGAATGGCTTTGGAAGCTAGATGAGGGCTTCCTCATCTTAAACAGAGAAAACTGAAACATAGTTGAGGTGAAATGCTTTTCCAAAGACTAATAAAAACATTCTACAAATACAGCCTTCAATTAACGTCTTGTATTCATTTTAAAAACAAACTTCTCCATTATGACCACATTTTCATGGTTTAGAATAACTCAGGTTGAACGGTCTTACCTGAAGCTTTTCTACTCTCCCTACCCCAGTATGGCCTAATTTAGGAGAAAGGGGGAGCCCTGAGGTATCATTGTAGAGAAAGAGAAACCATATTTAACCAGGACCTTAGCAGGGCAGAGCACGGTCCCAGCCAGCTACTTGCTCTTGACCTTGTGTTTCGCTATAACACTGCAGAATTTTTGTGCTGTTTCCTCATTCTCTTTTGCCCGGCTCTAGGGAAGGTAGCTTTTTAAGGGTATCTCTGTGGTCCTTGCAGCACCGTTTCCCATTCTAAAGTGCAAGAGAAAAGTGCCTGCTTTCACAAGACCTCTCCTCCTCCATCCAGGGCAAGTGCTTAGACTTAGCTATTAAGCTTCTGGCCCAAAGGGGAGGAAACCATTTGGGATAAAAATGCAGAAATTTTCCCATAGAGTTTTATTTTTAAGCTACAATCTGTTGTCCTCCCCCGAAAATCGAGGTATATTTGAAAAACATCTGCTTGAGAGGTCAGTTTGGTCTCTATGTAAGACCTTTTCTCCTGATACTTTGTTCTTGTGCTGATATCTCTTACCATAAAATATTGAAATTATTTTATTTATTCTTATACTCTAATGGGAACCAAACTAAAAATGATTCATATTTATTTTTTCTCAAAATGGAGATGCTTTTTTTTTATGAAATCCGTGCTCTTTGTAAAAATTCACTGTACTGAAGTACATAAAATACAAAAATGAAAGACATTCTTGACTCCCACTCCCCAGAGGTAATCACTGTTAATAGTCAATTCCTTGTTGAGAAGGAAAGAAGATAACATTTGATCATAATGTGCTGCTGTGTGTGCCTCACCCTGCTAGGGATGGCCCTGATGATTCATGGGCTTATGTTCTCTGTTCCCTACTCAGGTTGGTGAGAATTGGCCAGGTAAAGGAAAAAGGAATATTTTGCTTTGGACTGATTTAAAATTCTATGATTAAGTAACAGACATGAGAGTTTAAATATAGCAGGGCTGCTATTTTAAGTTTGTCCTTATGAAGTGCTTACTGTAGCTTGGTGGGCTAGTTCTCACACTTTTAATGTTGGTGTCAAGCCTCTGATAGGTTGATTTATACTGGCCAAACTCATTAAAACAAAACCCTCAAGTTTGTTAAGAGTTTCATAATTTATAGTTGGGAAGGAATGGGTATACTTGCCATTAAGACCACTGCCAGGATATCCCAGTGCTGATATGGGATGAGGGGGTTCCCCCTTGATCAGTATCCAGAGGCACATGCCAAACATCAAGGAAAAGAAATTAGGGGAAAGAAGAGGATTAATGCCTTTGCAATTTTCAGATGTGGCCTGGAAGGAGATGGTACATATTTAGGATAGATTTCTAAGTGTACTTATATGGTGGTATGTATTGTCATTTGTATAGTAACTCTAAGAAGTCTTAGTCAAAGTACAGAATCACTTCTTCCTTAGCCTGGTATATTCAAGAAGAGTGAGCTGTGAAGTAGTTGATGTTCTAAAGACAAATTCCCAAAACAGTATGTAGAAGTTAAATCATAACATTGCTTATTTGAGATTGTTGGCGACTTGGGTGTTGTTTACACTACTCTGCTTTGAGTTTAAAATCAATTTTCATACTTACATGAATAGGAATTTATTTCTGTGTCTCAATTCAGATCTGTTTATCTCTATGCCTATACCATGTTGGTTTGATTATAGTGGCCTTATTTAAATTCTGATATCTGGGGATTCATGTGCTCCCTTTTCATACTTTTGTTATTCTTGGGCATATATTCTTCCACTTATTCTTTTTTTTAAAAACATCCTTATTGAGATATAATTCATATACCATATAATTCACCCCACCAGTAGGGGCTGGATGGAAGAATAGAACTCCCACCTCTTGGCCACTTTCTCCCAGAATTTAGAGTCAGCTGCTGGTAGCCGGGCAAAGGATGAGAAATGCTGCCATTCCTGCACCTCTAGGGAAGAAAGTCCTATGACTGAAAGCTCAGGGGAGAGGGAGCTCTGGGTTCTTGGCTGCAGCAGCCTGAGCAGAGATTGGGTTTGCTGACCTTGGAGAGGAAAGGGAGGGAGCACTCTTGGTTCAGATATCACAGAATCT